GCCTCCAACAACAACACACGGCTCCTAGTAGGCGCGACCAATCCAGCGCCGAAAGGAAGGGTGGTGGCTCTTCCCCCACCCCGCCCGAGAGCGGGCGGCGGAGGCGGCGGCCAGCCGCTTGCAATCGAGCGCCGAGCGCCGCTCTGCTACGATTGTTGCCCGTGGTGACGGGCAAGCTGCGGCCCGGCCTTGTCCCTGGTTCCGGCCGGGCCCTCTCGGTCCCGCACGTAGCCGGCCCGGCTGCTTTTGTGCTCCCGTGCTTGTTCTCGGTGCTCGCTGCGCCCCTGGGGAGGCCACTGACTTCGCTGTCGAGGTGGCGGTTGGGGTCTGCCTCCGACAAGGCAGTTGCCTCCTGCTGGGGTTTTAAGTGTCAGCAGAAAGTAGCCCAGAGCTGTGTGAGTTGGGAGCCTCGAGTGAGGTGTCTGGCATGGGTACGCTGCCCGCCAGCCTGCCGAGCTCACCCAGGCCTGGTGTGCGCCAGCACACGTACAGCTTCAAGAGAAGGGAAAGCCACCAAAAAAAAAAAAAATACTGGGAGCCTCGTATCCACCAGCCAACACATACCCAGGAGAATTTGGGCATAGCAGCGTGACAAGATCTCATGGAGATCTGTACATAATTCTGCCTCTGCTGTTGGCTCCTTGGGCGCCTTTCTGCAGGGCGCTTCAGCAGCACATGGGCACCCACCATGCCAGCAGCAGGAGCACACGGGTAGGCCCAGGAACTCAGTTTTCCTATCAACCACATATCCCATATTTTCCTATCAACCACACACATTTTTTTACTAATCTGTTTTACCAAGAATTCACAGCAAATACCTCATTTTTTTGTGGCACGCAGATAAACTCAGTATGTACTGTTGCATGTGAAAGATTTGGCTACCAGTGGAGGCTGACCCCACAGTGGCAGCACAGCGTTTTAGAGCTCAACTTCATCACAGGAGACTGCGGTAGTTGCAAGGAGTTATCACTGCGTCCAGCAGCAGCAGGGCGATGCATTTCCTTCTAAACAGTGGGATATTCTGCAAGAACTGAAGGCACAGGTACCTGATTCATTAGTATGCTCTATGCTAGATGATACATTTTTAAAAGGGTAGTAGCTGGACACAAGGAGGGAGGCAGAGCGCTCTGTTTTGTTTTGCTCTTGCTTTGGCAACCTGTGGCAGAGGGAGGCTGGTGTAGGGCAAGCCCAGAGGATTAAATTTCTGTAGTGTTACAGGGGAGAGCTGGGAGATGAGCAGCTAGGGATTGGTAGTATTAAAGCTAGGTGAGTCTCTTGAGTGGGCATGCAAATACTGAGAGAAAAGTCAGATGAAGAGGCTTTTCACTGAGGCTCAAGAGGGCGTGTGTAGGTTTTTTGTTTTTTGTCAAAGACTGACCCACTGAAAATTGCCTTACTAAAAGCAAGGAACTGCAGCATCTTCTGCAGCTCTGTGGTGTGCGTGTGTAGGGGGGGAAACCTCCTTACAGACTTGTATTATTATCTGCCTCACACTCACTTTCCTGAAGTTGCCTTGGTCTATCCAGGACTCTAATGAATACCTTTGGAGTTTAAAAGTTGTTTACGTGGTTTCTAGTATGTTCATTTACAGCAAAGCTCTGTCCAACTCATATCCTGTAACTACAAATAAGATATATTCCTGGTGGCAAGGGAAACTACCATGTGTGGTCTAGAAATGGCAGGGGTGGAATGAAATTAGTAGGAAAGATCATTTCAACTGCTTCCGTAGCGAATGAATCCACAGTCATATCATTTGCTTTTGGTGTTAAATGATCTTCACTTGCCGGGTTGCAGGCACCGCTAATCCCAGCTCCTCGTGCTGAGGGACCGTCCCCTCGCCAATTCTTTGTCATGTCTCCTGCTTACAGGAGACTTTTCTCAAACTCTTGGATCCCCTCTTCTGCAGTTCTGTTTCAAGATGCATTTGCTCCCTCCAACAATAATACTTTAAAAATAGGTTCCCCTACTCTTTTTTTTTTTCTTGAGGGAAGGAAGAGAATATAATGCAAAATCTAGTGAGAAGGAATGTGTTACAGAAGCAGTTTTAACAAAGGTTATACATTTGGACTGCAAGTAGTCATAACTGTTATCTGGTAGGAGAAGGTAATGTGCAGAATGTGCAAGACACATTGCAGGCCTAACTGAAATTGTGCAAAAAACTGCAGTTCTAACTGCAAACAAAACAAAAATTTTTAATGAAGTATCTTTCAACTTTTCCAGCTTCTCATTTCGCCTTTCATGGGGCCGAGCAGTACGGACTGCTGGCGAGCTTGCTCGTTGCATGTGCTAGAGCGGCAGGCAGGCTGGGTCTCTCGTGCCCTTCTCTTCACCCAGGAGCAGTGTACGGGCTGTACTGTTTCCCTGCACACCATGGACAAAATCCCAACTGTGAGGTCAAAATCTTCCAAGTTGGGGCTGTCAAAAAATGTCACCTCTCTGCGCTCAGTGCCCTGCTCATGGCTGCTTCTCCCTTTAGTAGTCACTTCCTCTTGGATTGCTGTAGCTTTTTCGAACAGAGCTTGACAGTCAGTTCCCCAGCCCTGCGTTTATAGTTAGTGAATTAGTGTTGCTTCTGATCTGGCTATTTCATATAATTTGTTGCCCTGTGTGGAAGTTTCTGCTGATTCCAGCTGTTTTCCTGTGTAAGTGTGACACAACCATTCCTTCCATTTAGCCTGAAGCAAAGGTACTTAATAAACTCATTAGCCTTTCCCTGCTTTATGGGATAGTAGACCTAACAGCACATGTATTTTCCCATGAAACAAGATGTTGTAAGTAGCGAAACACTATAAATTCTCACTGCATCTAAAAAGTTAAGAACATTTTAGCAAATATGACACAGTTGTAAAAGATTGATTCTTTACAATATGTTTATTTGCTTACAGTCAGTAATCCAGTGGTCCATAATAACTATCAAATCAAGTCAGAATGATTTTGCTGCAACTTGTTTATGAAACAAAGTCATTTGTTAGCTTTGAAAAAGTCATAATTTCATGAAGTATATAATTAGAATGTCTCATTTTTGTCTTCCACCCACATGGATACTATTCTGTTAAAAAACTATGTTTTTGACACAGTATAAAAGGGATTTTGAGTAGGTAATATCCAGACTGCTTAAAGCAAAATCCAAACAGCATGCTGTTCTTAAGGTCTCAGTAATAAACACCAAGATATTTAGGCCAAACAGTTCCACAAGCATTTTTCAAACCAGATTTTAAGTCTTTCCTTCACATCCAGGAATCTATGTCACTTGTGAAGGCTGAGTCTTTCCTCCGGCAGCAAATTGTGGACACTGACAATATGAATTTATTTGTTGGCAATGCTGAGTTTATGCAGCCCCTGTCCCGGGTCCCAGGCCTCAGTTCCTCACCTTCCACCCCACTGAAGCTAGTTGCTTCAGAGGTAGTTACTTTTCCTTCTTGCTCCTTCCCCAAAGCCACCATAGTTTCCTACTCACTCCCTGCCATGGCACCATCGCTGCCCCTGCTCGCTGGAAGTGCAAATAGGCTCATCCCACTCCATGCAGGGACCCGTAAATATCTTTGCCTGCTTCCAGGGGGAACTCAACCGCAGGTGAGTAGGTGGCTCCTGTGGAGCCAGACAGGTTGGAGAGGGCTGCTTCACTCATGGTCTGCGCGTCTCTGGGGATGTGTTCACACCTCTGTGCTGGGAGAGCAGTGCCTCTGTGGTCTGCTGGAGGCTGTTTGCATCCCTTCCCAGAAATGCGTTTCCCTGGGGAAATGCATGGTCGTTTTAGCCCGCATTTACCACAGGCGAACTTCAGGGTATTTGCATCACGCTCAGAAGTCTAAATTGTGGGTTGTATTGGCGGACCACCTTTTAATGCCAATGGTCAAAGCAGTTTTAGTCTTTTTGTTAGTAAATTATTATTAGCTGCCAGTTCCTTAGTACACATAGGGACAGGCTGCACAGTTTCATCTGGTGCAGTTATTTGAAAATAATCCCCAGACTAAAATTAAATCTGGTTAGTTTCGTTCACATTCCACCTCCCGATAAACCACAGCCCATTCAGTTGTGAGCATACACATGTGTGTTTGTAACATCACTTCCTGGGCATGCTTATTTTAAGATTTTCTGCAATATATTAGTCCACAGAGGAATGGGATGGAATTCTTTGACATTGTTGCTTTTGAAATTATGATGTTATTTATACTGTGTCTGAAATGATTACAATTTGCTATGATTTTTCTGCAGAACCTTGTGTGTTTGTGTGTAAGGGCCCGGATTCTTAGCAAAATGCCATTTGTTGCTTTGATTGACATTTTGCTAAGCAATTCTGCTAGTAACTTCTATTTTTTGGGGGGAGAGGACATATTTATTTACAAGATGCTTAGCAATACCTATTTTTACACCCTGCTCCCGACGTGATATGTCTAGAAAGCAATTTAAAGAAAATTAACCAATGTAATTAGCTGCCTCCATTTTGTTTCCATAACTTTCTATGTAGCTATTCTTCTGTAGTGAAGAATTTTTGGTTTAACTTTAATCAGTTTTCAGAAGCCATATACTGAGCTGAAAAAAAAATCTAGTATCAGGAGAAGGCTATCTTTTCAGAAAAAGGAAGTGAGAACTTTTATTAATATAATTCCTATGAGTTAGTGTTGTAAAAAAAAAACTTGTATACATTTAATCTGTAAAAATTCTCATTTTTATCTGTGTTACATTTTCAATGTTTTAAGTGTCTGTAATATTAATGTCTTATCTTTTAGTAGGGCAGAAATTAAAAGATTATAGACCCCACAAAAGATTTCTGTAACAGAAATAATTTTCTCAACTATACCAGTTGGTATAAAAGGTGCTTACCTCTGTCTATAAACTTTTCCTAACTTCTATGTGATTACAAGTATAATTTCTGTCAGATCTCTTAGTAAATTTTTAAAATACTTTCTCTGGCCTCTCCCAAAGCTGCTAATGTTTTAAACATACACTCTTTGCTGCCATAACAAAGAAAAAATGCTGTCAAATCTCATTAGCTTTTTTCAACTTCTTTGACTGTTTAATGTATCAGAAATCATTGGCTTCCTTCAGTAATATTCCTCTTAAAGTTTAACTTCGCAAGCTACTTTATTTATAGGCAATCCTGTGCTACTTTAGTTACAGTTAAAAAATTGACACTGGATTATATTATGAGAAGGCAATCTTCTGGGACCACTATGTGAGTTCCTCTGTAATTTTGTTACCACACTTGTATATGTTTAAAATCAATAAAATACTGTTGATATCCATTACCTTATTGCCATCCTGATAAACAGCCATAAACAGATTTGATCCAGCAGCTTCGTTCTTTGCACAGATGATTGGCCAGACGAACCACAGACACACTAATGATAGGCCAGGTCTTCCATCTCCATGGGTTAATGAGGTATAATAGTAATTATATTTTACCTAAGACAGTATCTTTCCAAGCACATCTTTCTGGTAATCACCATTTAATTTGGCAGAATCAAACATCTGTAGCTCTAAAAGAAGAGAAGATTCTCTTCTCTATAAAGAAGAGAAGAGACTAGAAGAGAAGATTGAGAGGAGATCTGATCAACAGGTACAAGTACCTGAGGGTGAACGTAGGGAGGATAGGGCCAAACTCTTCTTGGTGGTGACCAGTGACGGGACAAGGGGTGACGGGTACAAGTTGAAACACAGGAAGTTCCATCTCCATGTGAGGAAGAACT